TGATCGTACAAATCTCCCTACACAAAGTCAAAAATAAATATATAAATAAATAAAAAATTAACAGAAATTAAAGTTTCCAAGTTCCATAATCGATTTCGCAGTAACCCTAAATTCCAACTCNGACAGTCACAATAATATTGAACACGAAAAACAAAGTAAATCGAATTTTTGAATGAACATGAAAGTGAGAATTGAGCTCACTAAGATAAAATTAATACTGGAATTTCTGAAGTTGTAGATGAGATCCGCTTTTGGAGGGGAAGGGTTAGAGAGAGTGGACCCTCGGACTAAAACGGAGGTCGGGTGGCCGGCGTCGGGGCACTGGCCTGAACGATGAATTTTCCGATGTATCCGGTGGCACCGATTATGAACCGATTATGAAAAACTTTACTTTTCCCGGCCATTTTTCTGAACGATTGAATTTCCAATGTATCTCACTATCTCAGTGACACGATGGTAGGAAAGGAAAAAAAATTGAAAAATTAGGTGTCTATCTCAGTGACACAGAGATGGTAGGAAAGGAAAAAAAAAAATTGAAAATTAGGGGTAAAAATGTCATTCTAGATGTTTGAAGCAAACGTGTCAAAAAAAGAGGCAATATGAGTGGAATAAAAAATAATATCTAGCTACAGTGTTCCTATAATTAGTTAGTATTAATAAAAATAATTGTATGATAGAATAGTTAAAGAAAATTATGATTACTCTTAAAAATGCAAAGTCTTAACAGTTTGTTTCCACAATGAATTGAAAAAATGTTGTCAATGTTCAATCCCTTCTTTCACCATTTCCACTTCTTCTAGAAACAAAACTCATTAGTCTATAATCAATTGAGAATGATTAATAATTAGTAAGCGTGCAGGTTATGTAAGCCGTTTATTTAGTCATCACATATTTATTTTATTTTATTTTTAATTTTTTTTTTCTCCATCACATATACTATCAAACTTAAAGTATGACGTGGTTTAAATGCGTTCGAAGGACAAATTTTGACGTATCATTGTTCATAATAAATGCCCATACTCGCTTTTATTAAAACTAAAACAATAAAAATGTTCATACTCATTGTTGAATAATTAGATTGATTCAAGTGTCACATGCTGCACTCAGGGGCGGAGGTACATTGTAATGTACCTGGGCTGTAGCCCGGGTGAAATTGGCAGTATCTCAAGTATTTTTATGTGGAAAAATTATGTCAATTTATTTAATAGACCACTTCAGCCCAGGTAATATTTGAGTATCTTTATGTAAAAATTGAATTCTATTTATATAGTAGCAGCCCAATTCTTGTTTCACAGCCCCGCCCATGCAATTAAAAAATTAAAGTAAGACCAAATAAGACAAATAAATAACAACAACATATTTTGAATTACCATCTAATAAACTTTTGAAAATTATTAAAAGTTAAAATTTTCTTTTGAGAAAATTTCATGAGAAACCTGTTTCTTAGAAATATATTGTGAAATAAATGTTCACTTTTTATTAGTTTCTGTATATTTGCTCGTATTCATACATATCTTATGAGTTTAGATTTAATAATTTTTTGATAATGTACAAATAGACATTCATATTAAATGTAAAATATAATTTTTTTGATGCTATTTATTACCTATCATTACCAAATACACACTACGAAAAAATGATATAATTTCAACATAATATTCCAACAAAAATGTATTCCAATATAATTCCAAAGGCAATTTCAATGGACATTTCATTGCTATTAATTATTTCCATTGAAATTTTTTAATAGATTGGAATGAACTTTTCATTGGAATTTCTGTTAGAACCGTTTCAACGGAAACTATATCATTGGAATATCCATTGAATATGTTACCTTATAATTTTTCGTTGGAATATGAAATTTTTTTTAGTGACGAGCTATTTTAACATAAAAAATATTGTTTTAGGGCTAATTTAATAAATATTATTTCACGATATACATACTATTATTTATCTACGGTAATTGCATTTTTAGAATTTAGTTATTAATTTATCCTTTTCACATATAATACATGAGTATTTTTTTTGTGTGTTTTATTTTTATTAGTAGTAAGTTTAAAATTAAAGGTTTGATAAGTTGAAATACTAAATCATGCAAGTAAAAAATAATTCAAAATAACATTTTTTCAATCTAAATAATTCTAGCCCAGGTAGCTTTCAAATCCTGGCTCCGCCCCTGGCTGCACTCACAATTATATCATAAAATAGACTATCATAGATAAGAATTTCTCATCATATATTAGACTATTATATATAAATTTATTTTAATTGGCAAATAACAATTATATTACTTTCCAATTATGATTGATAGGTCATTTAAATTTATATATTTATAATATTATAAGATAAATAAATGATGATAAATTTAATATACTACGTGATACATGAAAAACTGATAATAAATAAAAAATTATTGACCTTTAGAAGTTAAATCATTCAAATGTTTTGTAACTCTTTATAGACTCTAAATTGACAAAAAGTATGAAGTACAAAAGGTTGACATATATGAAGTAATTCAAAAAGCTCTTCATTTTTATATGTGTAAGTTGGTTGCAAGTGGTAAGCAGTCATAATCTATTAGAAATTTTTTTATTCATTTTAACTTAAAATATAAATATAATTTAATTTTAATTCAACCTCACTATCCTCAAAATTATCAATATAACTAAATAATACCAACCATCTATCTCTCTATCTTCTACATGACGTTAACTTTAATTCACATTTATCCATTCACATATATTTAACTATCTATCATTTCCAATCACGTATCATACTTTTACATTACATCAAATTCTATCATTACATTTGGATTGCTAGTTTTTTACTTAGGTGTATTTAATTTGTACCAATATATGTTTATATAATTACTAATGATTTTATTCTCCGTATAAAGTGAATCCAAAACAACTAGTAAAGATCAACGTAATAACTACAAAGAAAATAGATGAAAAATAGAACTGAACACGATGTAAAAAAATAGTCCTAACATTCATTGAAAAAAAGCTATAAAAGAGGGAAAGAAGAAATCATATAAGATAAAACAAGTTAGTCATTTAAATAATATAAATATAAGATAATTATAAAATTTCTTTCTTATCTTAACTTGATATTATAAGTTTGCAGAAATTATGATATTTACAAAAAATAAAATGTATATAGGAAAGGCAAAATATAAAATAATATATAATAATTGAGTCACTTGTGAGTTGTGACTCATTAAATAGGAATTAGGGTGCTATTATGCACTATTCTTTGGCGACGGCCTAACTAACAGGGCCAACGCCCTTGAGAATATTTGATTTTTAGTGCAAAATCAGTATATAGTTATGTTGAAATGAAATGTACTCTCAAGTAAAACGTTGATAAAGACAACGAGACCACCAATTAAAATTTTCAAATTAAATATATGAAAAATCACAACAAATTTGTAATAATAATAAATATTTGTAGGTTTGAGAGTCCACGCACATATATTGTAGGTTTGACAATTAGTACAATACAACCTTAAGATGGATTTTCATCCCATGCTATAAAACACCAAAATAACCAAAAATATACATTTTTCTTTATTCATTTTCAATGCTACAGCCGAATTATCAATCTATACTTAGTGAATTAACATATTTGATACATAGACTTATATATTACACAAATTATTGTTTGAAACAATGTAACCATTAGATGAGTCAAATTGTCATACATATTTTTGACAAAAAAAATACATATTTTATACAATATTTATTGTATAAAATATTATATTGTTGTTAATATATTTTGCATTTTAATGTTAAAGTATGAATGTATAATAAAGAACATGGCGTAAAGACCCGTCTGACTATAGGTTCATTGATATAAGTAAATTAATATCAAATTAATGAAGTTGAAAAGGTGAAGTAGACAATAGGTATAGAAAGGATCCACTTTAGGATGTATCCAATTAAATAGGAATAATAAGGATTTTATAAGGCAAGTGGCCTAACGAAGTCAACCAAACTCATATATAAAAAAACAATTGCAACATGCAAATATTGAAGGTACTACAATAAAATGATGAAATTTTAATTGAAAATTCCAACAGAAATATATTTCATGAAATTCTAACAGCAATTTCAATGGATATTCTCATGTTATTATTTCCACTGCAATTTTTTAATTGATTCTAATGTAAATTTCAATTGAAATATTCCGTTGTAATGAGCTTTTCATTGGACACGTGGCGTACATCTAGTATAATTGCTTCATGCAAGGCGACACGTGATAGGACACCTAGTCAAGTAATCGATTTTGTGGTCGGTGGGCCGGTTCATTTGGACGGTGTGAACCGATTCTGAGGTGATAAGATCGACACGAAGGAAGATGTATGTTGTGGTTAGTGCCGATATGAAAAATATCACATTTATATGCAAAGTAGCGATGTTATGAAGGATGCTCGGCCATGGGTGAGATCAATGCGAGCATTGTATTGAGTTCAGATTGACACCGATGGCCTATGGATGCACTTATGCGGATGTGCAATATATATGAGCGTCGATATGACATTTGCTTTCCGTATGCTAATAACGTTCCACGTCTTCATATTTAATGGGCTGAATCAGATCGAAAGAGGATGAATTTGATTATTTTAATTAATATTATTATATTTTTGTTATATTGCAAATTATTAATTAAAATTTTTTACTTTAAAATAATAAATATAATGTTGTAAAAAATATTTATTTTTTCAAAAATAAAACTTAAAGTAAGGGAGCATAAATTCATTTATTGATATTGTTTTTTGTAAATCTTAATTTATTAAAATATCATGTATCGAGGTTTTAAACGAGTCATGGAATTATCCAAAAACATTATGTGCCAAATTTAAAAGCCTTTAAATACTCCAATTTTTCTCCATTCACACAAAAACCAATCACCACTAATCAATCAAATCAAATACCCAAATCTCGTGTCACACGTTGCCCAGTCCATATAACATAAAACCCAAAACCAAAAAAAGAAAATCAATTACCAAACGGAAAATAAAAAATATCTATGTCCCCATCTCCCACCTCCCCCGCCACCACCGACCACGGCGGCGGCGAACGCTCCGGCTCTCCACCACCACCACCCATCACCGCCCTCCACCCAGACATCATCCAATCCCACATCCTCAACCGCCTCGACGGCTCCACCCTCGCCGCCGCCGCCTGCTCCTCCGCCCAACTCCTCCCCCTCTGCCGCGACGACCGCCTCTGGCGCGACATCTGCCACTCAACCTGGCCCTCCACCGCCGACCCCCGCGTCCGCGCCGCCGTCTCCGCCTTCCCCTCCGCCCACCGCTCCCTCTTCTCCGACGCCTTCCCTTCCCTCCNCTCCGCCACCGCCCCGCCGCCGAACCCCCCCTCCACCGACGCCACTTCTCGCAGACGCCGGAGCTCATCTCCGCCGTGGACATCAGCTGCGACGGCCGGCCGATCTACTCCAAGGTCCTGGTCACCGAGACGTCCTCGCCCTGGTTCCTCTGCACCCCCCTCCGGCTGGACCTCCTCGACCCCAAGGAGACTGTCGCCACCACGCTCGACCCAGGCGGAGGAGCGTGCGCCTCACGCGCCGCCGACCGCCTGCTCGTGAGCTGGATCCTGATCGACCCGGCCGCCGGGAGGGCGGCCAGCGTGGCGAGCCGGAGGGCGGTGGTGGCGCGGCGGCACTGGCTGACGGGGGACCTGCAGCTGCGGTACGCCGTGGTGGTGGACGCCGGCGGCGGGAGGCTGGCGGAGTGCGCGGTGGCGGTTGCGTGCCGCTGCGGCGGCGGCGGCGGCGGGATGAGGGTGGTGGAGGCGAATATGCAGGTGGTGGGGGTGGAGGGGAGGGTCCTGGCCGGGATGGAGGGGCTCGGGGTGATTCAGGCGGCCATGGCGGCCGGGCGAACGAGGCCGAGCGGCGGCGGCGGCCGGGAGAGGGACGTCTATGCGGCGTTTTCGAGGATGAAGGCGCGGTGTAGGGAGGGGAAAGAGAGGAGAGAGAAGGGGCTGGACACCGCGTGCGTCGCCGCCGGGATCGCGATTTTCGTGGCCTTTTTTGTATTTTTACTGTCCCGGTGAAGATTATTTATCGGTTAAATATATATAGTTATTACTTTTTGTTTTTTTTTTATTGTCATTTATACATATAGCTGTAATATAATCGAAAAATTTGTAATAGAAAATGAATTTGTACTTTTCGTTCTCGTAAGTAAAAGACTTGAAAATTTCTTAAGTTATTTTAATATGAATGAAAAATTAATTTTAAGTTGTGCATATCAAAAAATTTATAAAATTATTTAAATATGAATGAAAATTTACTTTTATGTTGTGCATATCAATAAATTTAAGGTAAAAATATTGTGTTTAACTAACTCAGATATTATTGGATTCTAAAAACGTATTTTATGTTGTAGGTCCCGAAGCTTGTCGCGGCCCGTAAAGGCTCGTGATCTCTAGTGATCATAAGATGTCTTTTGGTTTCTAACTACGTCTTCGGACACGTTCCAAAATGTGTCTTTTGGTTGGGGTGTATTCAATTAGAATTTTAAGTGACATATTAACACTTTTTAAGATTTTCAAATTTTGAAGGAATTCTATGACATCTTAAGTCTAGATGTTGAATTTGAAGTGAAATTTCGTATAAGGTTTTCGGTTTAGAAATCCCACCAAATCTTAAAAAGTCTTAACAAATCCTAGTGTGAAAAAAGTTAAATACATCAGGATTGATTTTGTAAAACTTTTTAAAATCCTAATTGAATACCTCAAGACTTTTAGTCTTAACAAATCTAAATCGAATACATCAATATTTCTAAAGTCTACAAAATCGTTAAAATTCCCAATTGAATACACTTAAACGTCATGGAGGTGCTTTCTACCTCTTTAAATACCCACATACGTAGATCATTCACAACACTTGGAATTTAAGAGCTCTTGAATTACCATTCTTAAATTCATATAGCATATTGTGTTATTTGAGTTGTTGTTGAGTTTTGAGAGTTCTAAACAATAGTATTTTTTGTCGAAGCTTGTATATTAAAAAGTACAATTATATAAAGTCAAAGTCGTTGTATGCTATAGGTGTTTGATGTTAACCGTGTGTATTTTGTAGAGTAATTTCATCTTAAGGAGAACGTAACTATTACGTCCCACGACTTTAATTTTTGTTTATGTTTTCATCATTCTCCTTAAGTCATCTTCTTGATATTCACATACCATACTAAAACAACAAAATTTAATTCAACTTTTGTGATATGAGCTTGATATTTGTGATACGTACTAATGATATTCAAATAAGAATAAGAATAAAAATATATTTTATATTAAAAAATTATTCGATTCGATTTGTGATTTGAATTCGATAGTTGTGATTCGTAGTAATGAATTTGAATAAGAGTACCAAATATATTTTGTATTAAAAGTTATAAATACGTATTCAATTCTGAAAATGCTTAAATAATTGAGTTGTTAATAATGATATATAAAATATTATTTATTCCTATAATATATAAATATATAATGTATTTATATTTAAAAAATGTTATTAGTGTATAATATATTTATATCTACTACATTAATAGATTTATATGTTTATAAACTATTTATAAAAATAAATTTTAAATTGAATGGAATTGAATTCGAGAATCGAGTATGTTCGATTACCTCAAAAGAATTGTATATGTATCACAAAATAAAATCCATAGAAATTCTCACTTGAATACAAGTACTCAAATAATGTTTTTACGAATCCAAATTGAATAGTTGAGTCGGTTCGATTCGATTCGTTTACAATCCTATTTACCATACAAATTAAAAATACATGTAGATTTTCTTACGGGTAAAATGTATATGTGGGCTATTTTATTCATATTGGATATGAATTTGAAATGGACTTTCTGAAATAAATTGAACATTTATGTTGCAGTCTAATTTGATTAAAAATCGTGCTAATCTTGAGAGACCTTTTGCTATGAGATAACATGATTATTAATTGAATTCAAGTGATGTGATCTCTATTGCATTTACTTAGTTATGTATTTCTTTCTTATATGTTTATATAAATTCATATTTACCTATTTTTTTGTTTTATTTTTAGTACATTTCCAACCAAAATTAAATAAAATTTTGTAAGAATATTACAAAAAGAGACGACGCGTGGATTTTATGGACGAGTTGAATACAATTATTTGTATGTACCAAATCCTCTAATTAAGTTAAAAAATAATGGTATTAATTAATTTGACACTTTACCTAAAATCAAAAGTTGCTAGCTCTTATATTAATTCTTTGTGGCCCATGTCTCAGTATTAGTTTGGTGTTGTAGATTAGTCCTGAGTTTGAACTTTAAACAAAGCAACATTTATATTTAGTCGGTATCGTTCCCATTAATTGAAATTATCAAATGTTCCAATCAAATTAGATAAATAAAAGATAACTTAAAAAAACTCAAACACGTTACCAATCAATCTACATGTTTGCAGATGGAGAAGTGGCATCAACCATCATCATGTTGATTGTTGGACTGATACATATTAATTTTAATTATGCATATATACATTACTTGAAGTTGAAGATAAAAAAATTTCAACTTAATTTAGTAATTTATCACTCATCTTTTACTTGGACTGTTTCCATCATTATTTAAGTGTTTGAAGTTAAATTTGACAAAAAAAAGATGTAACGTCTATTGTGACATCTATATCTATATCATTGCTAGCTAATCATTAAATAAAGTATCATAAATAAAACCTAATAAATTTTATTTACATGGCAATTTCCTAATACAATATCCGTTACAATCAAATATTATTATTATTAAATTAATTCACTCTATTGCATTAATGATAAAATATTTTCTTCCACTACTTGTGAGTTAATTAAGACAAAAGACATTGCATTTTATATTAATTGAGTGATAATTATATTTTTATTGTATCATATAATAGTCATTATTAAAATTAATAAATATATTTTACGCTAAATGATATAAGAAAGTTACATAAATATAAATGTAAAAACTTTTTGTTTGAGTTATTTATTCTAAAATTAATATTATATTTCTTAATTTGATGAAGTGATTATTTTTTAAATAAATTAAATTGTTTTGATGTCGTAGTAAATTTCTTAAAATCACATAAGCAATTCCTATAATAAATTTAATATTTTTAGCTAATTAACTAGTCATAGTTTCTCAAAATTATAAAAATTATATTGTTTATTATATTTTATGCAATCAATATAGTGGTTCATATGCAATCAATCGTTATGCACTATTTATTTTAACTAATGATCGAACTTTATAACATAATACATTTATTTAACTTATAATGTTAATATTATATGCATAAATATAACTTATAATAATCTATATTTAAAATATAAATCATTATCTAATTTATAATTTTCATATTATATGTATACATCCCTCTATATATAATTTCAGCATGCGCTAAGTCTAAGTGGCAGGCTCGCGCGCTTCGGAATCCTACTTGGCGAAAAATCATGCTTCGTAATTTAGTTTGAATAAAAAATAATATTATTCTAAATCAATAATTAGGTTCGAAAATGACATAAATATTAAAAAGCTAACTTGGGTAATTTCATGGTATTTTGACTAATATAACACTTAGTTTGTTTTGTAAAACTTACTTATTGTTGTTTATATGACTAATATAGCCCTAAAATTTATTTTGGAATCTTCACTTTTCCAAATTGAAAGTTATGATCAAAATGATTAGAACTTTTCTCTCTCTCCGAAAGAAAAAAGGCCCAAATTGAATATTCCTTGCCTTCCCCGGCGGAGCCGCCGGTCTTCTTGATGGTGGCCGTTCCTGGCTTGCGGCCTGTCCTCGATTAGCTACCGGATCTCATCTTCGCGAGCGGTTGTAGAGTCGGTCGGTCCGGAGTGGTCTTCAGCGGATTAGGGCTGCCATCTCGTGACGAATTCGCCGGTTTTCATGGGAGCAAGGCGGAGGAGGGTTGTGGTGTTCTTCGGGGGTGGATTGCGGCTTCGATCGTCGCGGAGGGCGGAGGCTGCTTACTCTTCGGTTTCTTTTTCCCCTGGTGTTAGGGAAAAAGAGTCAGTCGTTGCACCGGGCCTGGCCGTGGTGTGGCTCGGTTTGGGGTGATGGTTGTGTGGTGTGGGGTGGACTGTTCTGACGTCCGACTGAGGGGTTGTGGTTGGCCGCCAAGGCGCGGGTTTTGGTGTTTCCATTCTAGTTAGGCCATGATTTGCAGTTTCTGGTGTTGAAACTTAGGCCATGGTCCGGCCAGTTGTAGCTTGATCGTGGTGTTGCCATTGTGTTTCAGCCGGTGTGTTAGCCCGTTCGTGAAAAGGGCTCTTCTTTATTTTTGTGTTTTTGGGTTTGTGCTTTGTGTTCTGATTGTGTCTTTTGTGTTTTCCTTTTCCTTTGTTAGTGTAATTATCCTATTTGGAATTTAGATTCTCCTGTTGGGAGTTAGGTATTCTCCTATTGGGAGTTAGATTTTATTATCCTCTTTGGGATCTAGATTCTCTTTTTTGGAGTTTTTTTTTTATTATCGTGGGTGCGTTGTGGTGTTTAGGCTCCTCCGGGATGTCCTATCACTAGATTCGGCTTTTGGCCGTACTCTATTTGTAATTATGTGTGTTAGTTATAAAATTTCTATCTTTTCGGAAAAAAAAAAAAGATTAATATATCTAATTTTTATGCATATATATTAAATTAATCATGTCTTGATGAGTGATGAGCTTTGATCATCTATATTATACATATAAAATAATTAAATAATTTTATTTATATTTATAATTAAAAATAAATTATCTATTAATATTAATTTAAAAAATATAAGTATTTAAACTAACTTAACTACAAAGTAGTTATCTGATATACATTAGAAAAATATATAATATAAGATAGTAAGTCGTGTAAGTGAATGTACCAATTTAAATATAAATAATAATATATTTTTAAAAAGGTATTTAAAAAGTAAAACAATTATAATTATTTAATTTGAAATATAATTTTATTAACAAGTACATGTATAGTATACGGGTATTGTACTAGTAACTTATAATACTTTATTTACATCTGTATACATACATAAGATCGAATACTAGTAGTAACAAATAATTGAAATGAAACCAATAATTGTTTTTGCGTTGTTATTTGTTTTAAATATTATATTTTGTTGATAGATATAGTAATCAAATTATGAAATACATACCATTATAATTTTTTTCTTAATTTTAAAATATATTTTCTTATAAATATATTAATATTAAAATAAATATCAATCTTTATAAATAATTAGTACATAACTCGTGCGATTAATGAGACACTAATAATAATTTATATAATATAGATTAGTATAAAAATAGTTTGTAATAATATTAATTTATTTCTTTTTGTTTGTATTTAGGGTTAATTGCAGATAAAACCCTAACCTTTTGTTAAATTGCAGATAAAACTCCACTTTATAAGTTTGGCAAAAAAAATACTAACCTTTCATAAGTGTTGCAATTATGTTTCAACCGCCACCCGCAGCCAGCCAACTTCGCCGAATGTTGAAAATTTTTACATGATCTTGTAGCTCTCCTCCGTGCCGACAACATATCCGAGTTTCACAAAAAAATTCTGACGATAAGGCTTCCAATTTCCCAGTCAAAACTTGTAGATCTACAAATTTTATCCGGCTCTTTCGCAAATTCCCGGTGACTCGCTTTGACCCACGTGAATCCGAAGGTACCGTTGAACTCCTCTTGCAAAGCCGCATCTAGTGACGTCCACCTTCGCCGGAACTGGTGACTTTTTCCGGTGACAACTTTTCCGGTCATCTCCTTATCGTCGGATTTTTTTCGTGAAACTCGGATATGTTGTCGGCACGGATGAGAGCTACAAGATCATGTAAAAATTTTCAATATCCGGCGAAGTTGGCCGGCGGCGGGTGGCGGTTGAGACACAATTGCGACACTTATGAAAGGTTAGTATTTTTTTTGTCAAACTTATAAAGTGAAGTTTTATCTGCAATTAACCCTCGTATTTATGATATATAATAGTTCAATATATAATTTAATTATATATGTATTCACCCGTTGTAAAAAAGTTGTTATTTTTAAAATTTATGTTTGGAATTAAGGAATTTAAAATTATAACACGTTCTTATCAATAAATAATACTAAAAAAAATACTTCTCTCCTATAAAAACTGGATTGACCCGCTCCCTATGTTTTTCTTTTAATATTTTTTATTAAAAAATATGTATTATATATAAATATTTATTATAAGATACACCCTTATTGACAATTTAATTTAATGTATACAATTTATAAACAGAAAAATTATTTCTATTACTTTTATTTATATTTATATGATAAAAATATTATATCTATAATTAAAATTTAAAATTAATTACCTGGTTAAAAAATTGATCCAATTATCCAATCGCTTAAACCGGTAACTCGATGACCAGAAGCTTGCCCGAATCAATTCCCGTACGGAATTTAAAATTATAATTATTATTTTTATATTACATCAACTATAACTATTACAATTTGCATTTCATATTCATGCACAATTGTATAAATAATTATATCATACTGTTCAATCATTCAAAGTCCAACTGGAAAGGTTGATTTGCATTGCACAGGCCCAGTTAATGGTATGAATCCCATTTGGCCCAATAAACAAAACTAAAAACTGAACAGAAAATTAATAATTGAGAAAAGTTATTATCAGTGATTATAATGGATTGCAACTGAACAAGGTTAATTGAATAAAAGATAAATATTTTTACAGTTAGTTCTTATACTCATTGAATTAATTAAACAGTGTTTATATTATTGTCTAAAATGTTTGACAATATCCTTAACTTGGTCCACCAAATAACTTTAGTTTTTATAAAAATTGATTGTGTATTCTTGAACTCGTATCTTTTGATCTATTCAACTAATACTAATTATAAAAATAATCGAATTCAATGTTTTCAAATCTAGCCTAGTTAATGGCCTGGACTGACCTCCGGTTCACTAAATTAGTTGCATAATCTAGTAATTAATTTAAAAAATTTAAGGTCATTTATATACTACTTTTATCAAATATATATAAAAATAAATAATATCTACATAAATAAATTTATATTTTATACTTTAAAGTTTTAATGTTATTTTGTTTCATTATAAATACTTAACTCATATATATATGTAGATAATTTTATTTTTAAAATAAATTTTGTTCTAAAATAAATAATATAAAATAGCTGGGTCAGACTGAGTTCACCGGCCCAATCAATGCTAGGGTTTTTGACTCAAAAACAAGGTCGATCGACTTGCTTGTTAACCTATTCAAAGAGTCCATCAGGCAAAATTTGGGTATTTGTTAACCCTCGGTTTAAATAAAATAAAATAAAAAGAATACTGAAAAAGGGGGAAAAATCAATCTATATATATAAAATTACTGGTTGTTAGCATTTAATAAAACTTATTTAATTTTACCTTTGTAGCAATACAACTATTTCCCTCCAAATGTCGTTATTTTTGGTTTATTAGATTATCAACACACTAATTACTTCAAAATTACAAAAATTATTTTAAACTTTTGATTACTGATAGTTGACCATATAATGTGTTGACCGTATAATGTGATTAGATGTTATTATTGTGGTTAAATTTAATTTTTTTTTAAAAAAATAAAAAATATATTTGAAATTTCTAAATAAATAATAAAATAATTAAAAAAAATAATACCAAAATATACGTATGATAAACACAATTTAAAAAAAAAATATTCCAGTTCTTTTAATTGTAAATTTGGCCTGCAAAAAAAAAGTGAAAGAAAAATTATTAATCATTATATGGATACAAATAATTCACAATACTGTATTTATATTTGTACAAATGCACATGGTGGAATACTAATTTGTGGTTATTGAGAACCACAATATATATAATACTTATTTATTGGAGATATTGCTGAGTCACTCAATAAACCATAGCCAAGACTTGTTTTATCCAATGAAAGTCCACATGGCAAAATTTGATTCTTCACAACCAATCCATGCTATCTTAATTGCCCCACCACAAAATCATCTGCCAAAAAAAAAAAATAAATAAATAAATAATCCAACATTTTATTTTTGGTGCTTGAACTTGAGATACTCTGCCCAAAAATTAGCAGAGGAAAAGAGGGAAAAAGAAAAAGAAAAAAGATAGAAAATAATGGCAGCAACAATGGCTACTGCTTCAACTGTTGTGGGATTAGGCACTTCCCCTTTGTCTTCTCCAAATAAACTAAACCTCTCCTCAGGTACTCTTTGCTAAAATGATATTAATTCTTTAATTTATATCATTTATTTATTAAATTTTTTCTTTAGTTACGAATTTGTTCATGACAAAAAGCTTTTATCATTTGTTTTCATTTTATTATGAAATTTGAGATTTTTTATTTTTTAAATAAAGTTTGTCTATTTTCTTAGATCATTTACATGTGAGTGATTGTTTGGAAGTAAACATAATGTAGTTGAAACAATGTAAAAAAGAATGGGTATATTGTAATTTTAAGTTAGTATGTGGTAAAAACCGGTGTTAAACTTATTAATTATCCGTAGGTGTTCTATTAGACCAACAAAATAATCAATAAAATACAATATTGTAGTTGAAACAATGTAAAGAGAATGGGTATTATTTGTAATTTTAAGTTTTAAGTTAGTACGTTGTAAAATCAAATTTAACTTCCCCTCTTAATATAATTTGAAAACGTATTGAGCTTAAATGGCTGCCTCGCACGCTTCGAAAGCTTACTTGGCAGCATTACATGTTTCGACTTTTGGTTCGGATATCTCCTCCAACTCCAAAATAAATAGGATTCTTAACTCCAAAAATAAACAGGACCGTGTAAATATAGGATTTTTTGCTTAATATTATAATAAAAAATTTAGACGTAATTCACGAAATATTAAAATAAAAAATAAATAAAATTTTTTGCTTAATATTATAATAAAAACTTTAGACGTAAATTATTTTATGTTTTATATTTTTTTTTTCAAACAACCCGTATAATACACGAGTGTCGTACTAGTTATTCATTAATAGTAAATTTTCTAAAATCTTCTGTTAGGCCTAATTTTTCATTAGACCGATATAATTTATGTGCAACAATTAATATTTTTATTATAAAATAGTATTTATAAAAAGAATATAAACAAAACTATGACAATTGATAGAATTAGTATATACTTTTGTTCACAAATCATGACAGATCGACTTGGTTAAGCCGTCTCACTTATTAACTTATGATTCGTTATAAATTGCTATTTTTATTTCCTTAATTTTTTTTCTCAGGATTCGTTAAACCTTTCGTGATAGCTAGGAACCCTCCAAAGCCATCACGAGCCTCTCGATTTAAAATCACATGGTAAAATAATTTTTTGTTTATTACTAAATATAAAAATAAATTAAAAAAAAAATCCAATATGTATATTTATTTATTTATTTTTGCAATTATAAATTATGAACCAAATTATTTAATTATTTTCTTGATCCAACTTACTAATAAAATCCTGATTTATTAAGCGAAGCTTCCAGCGGGACTGGCTCCGAAGAGACTTTAACGTGATCGGCTTCGGCTTGATCGGCTGGATTGGGCCGTCAAGCATCCCAGTCATCAACGGCAACAGCTTGACTGGGCTTTTCTTCTCAAGCATTAGCACTGAGCTGGCCCATTTCCCAACTGGGCCGGCTCTCACTTCCCCCTTCTGGTAAACCTTTATTTCGTGGCCCATCAATATTTTTACAACAAGATCAAATAGGCAAATAGTAAGTTTTGATGCACCATAATTTTTTATTAGAATTTCTGTTGAATTTTAACATTATACCAACAAATTTTCAAATGATTGGAATTATTGATTATATATGTAAATGTATAAATGAATATTAAATTCCATTATTGATTAATTTTCATTTGTGTTTTTCATATGACAACCCTTAAGTGTTGATTATGTAGTACTTAAGAGAGTTATTTTGCGGTACAATACTACAATTAGTTTTGAGTTTTGATTTTGTGCAACAAATTTGCAGGTTGTGGTTGGTGTGCTGGCACCTGGGGCTGTTTTTGACCCTTACATTTGGGCAAATTGGCTTCAAAGGAAGGACTGAAAATTACTTCTGAGTAATTACTTTTATTATCATTTATCAACTTCATTATGATATAAATGTGTATGAAAAAATGCTGTTATTGATAATTATTAATTAATTGCATCTTTTCTTCTGTACCTGAGGCCCTTATATTAGGTTGTCAAATTGTTTGTCAAGTTGACTCGTTCTGTTATTAAAAAATTCACACATACATTTAAACTGAAATGTCATACTGCTAAACACAACATGAAAAAATATAATTTTTCATAACATAAATATGAATTTTTGTTTTTCTAAAAAAAATATATCAAGCCGACTTGCCTAACTGTAAAGCTAGCTACCTTGCATAAATATTTGTGTTTATATTATAAAATATCATACATTTACTTAGATNTAAATATGATATTTCATAATAGAATTATGTATATTTATCAAAAAAATATGATCATCTAACTCTGTTTAACAAACTTAGTCGAACTAGTGGTAACTAAACAAAGATATATAATCAAAAGCATTTATATATTAATTAAATAAATGACTTGAATAACACTACAAATTATCGTCTTAACTATATTTTATATTTAAGGTCGTATGTTGGAGAATTGGGCCAGGTGAACAGTGGAAACATTTGTCATCTGAATCTAGTATTCTAATGTAATTTGAGGAATGTTATTTCCTAAGCCTCAAATTAATAACTGCCCTTTTATTATAAAAAACAAGGAGTATTTTATTTCTATAGGTGACTAAGTACATGAACACAATAAATTCACAACACAAATGTATTTGGTCAACTCAAATAATTACTCTTTTATATGATCTCACAATTATTTTCTTCTAAATTTTTTAATGTGTTGATCATGTGCAGAAAGATACATAATGAATGATCAATTATTAGGCCCAGCTATCATTAGGAGAAGAACCTTATTAGATTCTGTATTTATTTTTTTTAAATATTATAGAGAGGAATAAGGGAGATGAGAAGAATAATCCACGTACAAAATTGTGTTGGTACATGATTTAACTTATCTTTGCTTTTGTTTCATTGAAGGTTTATTTAATATATATATATATATATATATATATATTAATAAAATATTATCTATTAAATTTAATATACTACCCACCATAGAAAATAAACCAAATTAATCTACATAATGGCTACCATAATTAAAAAAATAATTAATATTATAGTAACTGATGTAGCTGAAGATATTAATTAATATATTATAAATGTGTTTATGTTGGATAGATGAACAATCTATACTTATATAATAAGGGGTACCATTTACGAAATTTAGTAAGTTGAAAAGTCAATGCAATAAATGTCTTACTATTTTGAGCAATATAATATAATATCATATTTATACTTATATAAAAGGAGATTCTATTTACTACATTTACTATCCATAAAAGTCAACTGCATTAAATGTCATTACTATTTTGGTATTATAATATTTTATTTATTTAATTAATTTATTTATTTGTTTTATTTTAAAAGGATAAGTATAATAAAAAGATTTTAAAATAAAAAAATCAAATAACAATAAAAATGTACACTTTGACTTATTTGATTATATTTGGTATTTGATTATACCAAATATATTCCTATTTAGTATATACATTAAATACTTACTAAAGTATTTATTTGTTTTATTTGTCAAAGTTAAATATATATAATATTTTATTTATTTAATTGATTTATTTATTTATTTTATTTTAAAAAGGTAAGTATAATAAAAAAAATTTAATAATAAAAAAATCAAATACCAAATAAAAATGTATACTTTGACTTATTTGATTATATTTGGTATTTGATTATACCAAATATATTCCTATTTAGTATATACATTAAATACTTACTAAAGTATTTATTTGTTTTATTTGTCAAAGTTAAGTATAGATTTGTTTATATTATCAAATCATAAAAAAATATTAAATCCATATTGTAAAAAAAAAATTCATATAATTTTATAACAATTCTACTACACTATTTAACAATATTCCTTTTTTATTATATAATAAAATAATAATTAAATATTATATGGTGAACAACAATAAGTAAAACTGTTACTTTCTCTTATATCAAGGAATAAATTTATATGTTAAAATTAAATTTTTATTAGTATAAATGTTTACTGAGATAATATATTAATTATTTTACAAGTTAGCCCTAACATGCTCATATTTAATGTTTTAAAAGATGTAGAAAAAAACTTATAATAACTTTATTGTTTTTTAGACTTAAACGTTGATTAAACAAGGTAAAATTCCTAATTTTTTAGACTTAAACGTTGATTAACACTATAGATTGAGAGTCTATATTTAGTAAAATTCCTAATTGTAATAAAAAAATTAATTTTTGTTATATTTTAGAATATCTTTAAATTCATTATAAAAAAAAGAAAAAAAAACTATAATGAAATAAGCAAGTCAGCTATATATCGATTTGTTGTACTCCTCAAATCACATTCACAATTTGGCTACAAGGAAAGGAAACTCATTTATTAAAATATTATTTTGTCAGTAGTCTTAATATACAAGAGACTTTAAGACTCCACTTGAATATTATAAAAGTTTTATTGAACATTGTACAATTTTCTTGCGTATTATAAACTTTTATTGAATATTGCATCTTATAATATAATATTCTCCAAATAAATATATCCCGTGCTTCGCACGAGTCACGTACTATATATATCCCGTATATTTTTTTTATTCATGTATATAATTATAAATCTGGATAAATAGCCTTAAAATTGTGCACTCCGTGCATCGCACGGGCTCTGTACTAGTTTGGCCTAATAAGACATGCTTTATTTTAGTCAATTGAAATTTTCTATATGCTCAAACTAGATGAAATCAATGTAAATAGTGCATATCACAACCAACTTCTATGTATACTTTTTTTATTCAATTTTTTATTTTCCAAAATTACAATGCTTGTCGTGAAGTGACAATCATATTTTCCAAATTTAGAATTATCAATAACCAATTCTAGTTGGTGGCATCGCAGTCAAATTCATGTTATGTTAAATAAATAATAATAAAAAAAAGGAAGTCGGTTGGATCAATTAGCTCGCGAAAAATTTGATTTTATCTGGTTTTATCGAATTTTTATCGTTGTATGTTAATTAATTAAATAGTAAAAAGTCGGTAAAAGCACTGCTCTCACCAGTAGATTCAAATCTTTCTGATAAAATTTATTGTTTTGATATACCTTTTATTTTAATTAGTTATTTTCATTAAAAAAATTAAATTGTAATTATTGAATTAACTCCTATATTGATTTTGATATGCCTGTAATTTTAAGGGTATTTAATTAGATCCATTGTTTTTTCTTGATTAGATTGAATAATCAAATTAGCTCTCTGGAATAGCTATATTGTTAAATTAGTTCCTATAGTTTGTTTGTTTTTTCAAACAGTGATTGATTAATTGCTTTTATTGTGAAAGATGCATTCAACAAGCTTGAAATGAGTAATCTATATCTATATATATATAAAGAGGTTGTTGGAAAAATACATTAATAGAAAGTTTGACCAAATAAATATAATGTTTGACTTACTATTAATGGAAAGTTCAAAAAGACACATGTGAATCTTTAGTAACAAAATCTAAATCCTATTTTTTTGGTAACAAATTTGGAGATTCTTATGGCAAAATTTGAATCCCATATTTTTCGTATCTTATTTTATTTTTTTACCAAATTTTAAATCATATTATTTTTGGTAACAAATTTGGAGATTCTTATGTAAAACCGTGCAAATTGGATACAAATTTAGGAAGCAAATAGTTGTATAATTCTTAACCAATTCTTCCAATCTTATTGAATAATTTCTTCTTTCAAAAGAATTGTGTAAATTGGATAAAGCCACGTGCAATTTTTATTTTAAAATAAAACTGATATTTGGACGGAATGTACATTCAAAATCGTGTCCACATTTTTTGGTAACAAAAACGGTTCATCATTGATATTTAAAGTCACCTTATCCAATTATTTAGGAAAAATTATGTGCAACTTTTCAAAATTTAAATACATCGATTTTTTTGGATTGTTATGTTTTTTCTTAACCATGTTTTACCGAGATTTCGATAAGTTTATCATATTTTTTAGGAAAGAGACAGTTGCATAAACATTGACAATTTATTTCAATTTTTTATTAGAATTATTTTCAATTCAATTTGTTTGGTACAAAAATTGGTGCAATGTTAGAAAAATTTGGTTGCATTTTTAGAAAAAATTGATGATTTTTTTTATTTGGTTTAAAAAAAATCAGATCAATTTGTTTGATAAAAAAATCGGTTTATTGGTAGGAAAATTGGTTTCATTTCCGGAACTAAGTAATGATTCTTTTCAATTTTTCTTAATTGAAATTTAGAATTAGATTTAAAATAAATAATGAGTGAAAATCCCTAAAAAAATTTACTCTTTTTTGTACTTTAATTTTGTTCAATAAATAATATCTTTTAGTTTTTTTAAAAAAATTTGTGACTAATAACTAATAATATGCAATTTTGGAAAAATTCGAACACCTATGTAGTACTTTACGTGCCAAAGAATCAAATCAATAATATTGTACATAAGAAAGTGTTTAATAACATATAAATTTTATTTTTATGAAATTTTTAATGACAAGAGACAATTTAAATAAAAAAATATTTTTTAAAGAATATATATATAATAAATGCTCCCGTACATCGCACGAGCACCATACTAGTATGATCATAAAACTTGTAATGGTAAATTAGTGCTTGTTAAAGTGGATCCATTTTATCGCCTATATGAAGATGTAAATGTAATGCAGATTTAATACAATAACACAAACATGTAATGGTAAGTTGGTGCTAGTGAAATTTGACCCACTTTGTATTAATACATTAATAAATTACTTAAAAAAACACAAAACATGTAACATAATGTAATGTTGTCGTGAGACGGCCTAATGATTAGATGATAATACATACTTCCAAAAAATCATATTTAATTTATACTATAAAATATCATGTTGGTGAAAGTGGATCGGCAAAATTTTAAAATTGGTCTTATAATTTGGTCACTGTCCAAAAAACCACCCCGATATTGACCACTTTCAATTTAGGTCATATAATTTATCGATTTCATCAATTTTGATCCTTTTCTATCCGCACCCTGAATTAAAAAATGACGTGGCATGACGTGTCAGTTTTTTAATGTTACATTGCGTGATTATGATCTACGT